ACTCGCGCAGTCGGGACTGCCGGCGCGCACTCGTCGAAATTCAAATTGTGCGAGAGATTGTGCCTTTTTGACATTCGCAAGGGTCGCCCCCCAAGCCTTGCCCCATGTGCGGCAAAAAGAATTTTACAACAAAACTCCCTCGCACGACACTAGGCACGGGACTGGCGCGCACTGGCACTAACACAGGTACACCACGGGAGCCGCCTACGCTAAAAGAATTCACAAACGCAGCGTGCAGCGATGAGCAAGCGCCCTCGCGACCGGATCGACCTCTGCGTCGGCACAACGCGCTTGACGACGCCATCTCGACCCTCTCTGCCGGGTCGTCCTACTTTTCGCGCATATTCTCGGCGGAATGGGCAGAGGAAGAGTCGGAGATCTTTCTCGACCGGGACGCCGAGCCGTTCTCGATCCTCCTCTCGTGCATGCGAAGCATGAGCGCGTCGCTGCTGCCGACGGACGACAGAATGTTCAAGCGCGTGCTGCTCGAGGCCGAGTACTTTGGTGTTGATTGGCTGATTACACACGCACGTCAAGCTCAAGACGGCTCGCGCGGTGTGGACGTCGATTTATGGTGTGCAGCACGAGATTTTATTTATTTTTGATTGGTATTTTTTTTGTTTTTTTATGCGATGAGAAAGCCGTGCAGAAGTTCGACCAGGCTTGGCCTCGGCTGGACGCGGCCTTTGTCGAGGGCGTCCTCCCGGCACAGTACTTTACCCCGCCGCCCGCAAGAGAGCCCGACCTGAACTACCCGACCTTTGTGCGCCCAGAGGTGCTCAAAATCCTGCCTGCGCCGGCAAACGTGCAGGTGGTCTTTGTCAACGGCCGCGGAGACGAGCAGGATCGCAAGCGGCCAGTGGCGTACGCCGTGGTCCAGTACCCACCCCGAAAGAAGTACTCCTTCAGCAGCACGGTCATGCCACCCGGCGTCCGGCTCGAGCCACTCGTCTCCGTGGAGGGACACGAGGGGTACGGAGGGGAGAGGTGGGACACCGAGTACGGGCCGGACGAGTCGCTGTACCTTGCCTCGGAGTACGCGATGCGCCGTATCGACTACAGCGAGGATTGGCCCTCCGATGCCTCCTGGATTATCAAGCACGACAGCGACGAGACGGACAACGGTGAGCATTAGCGGGCGCAACATGCAGCTCATAGATATACGCGCACGTTTGGATGCTCTAATTACCCTCCGACGGGTTTTAAAAACAAGCCTGTGCGCTCTCTTGTTTTTGGGCACGTTCAAAGAGCATTATAATATTTCTGTGACGCCAGAAGGCAAGCCACGCATGATGATGCACGCATGATAGCAGCTCATGGTTAGAGGGAGCGGACCGTGAGTTGAGGAATCGAGGGACGCGACCCACTTCGCCACAGACGGTCCCGCGCCTCGCCCCTAAGACGGGTACACGACCGCGGCTCGTGTGCGTGTACCCGTCTTTGTCCGGAGTGAAAAGTCCAACGCGCTCGTCGGTGGCGGCTTCCCTCAACCTGCGCCGCGCTCGGCGAACCTCGACAGCACTTTCGGTGGCATGCAGCTCTTTGCGACAGAAGCCTGGAGAGCAGCTCCTCTGCTGCTCACACACTCTGCACAGTTGACACAGCCTATTGTGCGGCTGCCACAGCTGTGACAGCGATGGGCTCGCCCTCACTGGCCCTCAGTCACTTGTGCTGCGGCTTGTGTGAGCGACACTGCTCGGCGACTGCCGGCACACTGTGAGACCATGGGTTTGAGGTTAAACCACGCTACCAGCGCTTGGTCACATCGGCCCCGAGGTCAGATCCTTCTACTCTGTTGATGACAAGACTTGTCTACTGGCTGGAGCCGAGCAGGAGGGCCCAGCGCACAACCCCTGGTCAACTCAGGGTCCACACCCCGTACGTACACATAAACATCAACTACACGGTGCGAGTTCTCAAGCGAGGAAGACTTCCCAAAACCTTTGCATTACGGGCCGTGGCTCGAATTCAGTGTACGCGAGCCAGTTGCGTTGCGCAGCCTCCGTCCGGTTGAAGCCGAGCAGAATGCTGACGAGGGTCGCTCTGTCGTAGTAGTAGATGCCACGGGCGCCCAAGATGTCCAGGTGGGCGCGACCAAGGGTGAAGTGTGGAAAGGACCTGTTGGAGGTTATGACGGGCCGATTGTGCGTGGCGAACTCGGCGACAGCGAGGCCAAAGGTCTCGCCCTCCCAGCGGCCGTGGATCATTGCATCGCTGGTGCGGATCAAGTCGAACCGATCTGTCGAGCTCGGCAGGTGAATCACGTTCGGTGGGCAGCCGCGCCGCCCACAAAAGTCTTGCGTCGTGAGGAACAGAAAGAAGATATCCGGCCGCACGCCGGCGACTTCCAGGACGGCTTCGCGCGCGAACCACAAGTTGAACTGCCCTTGCCCACCGTGTCGCGCGAATACTGTCGCGTTGGATGGGATGCCAAGCGCACGACGCAAGTTGCCGCCTCCGGGCCTCGCCGCGTGCACGATGTGCGGCACGACGGGCGCGGAGCCAGGAATGCTCTGCGAGACTCGTGCGTAGGCGTCGCCGTGCGGCTGCCGACCGTCCATCACGGCGTGGACCAGATTGCGCACACCTTTGACGGTCGTATGCACGGCGTCGCGCTTGCCATACTTTTGCACGTACATGTCCGTCACCTAGGATGAAAGGTGTAAGTGTGCAGGGAGACCAATGAAACCAAGCACCTGTGCATTCATCTGCTATGGAGAAGTGTGAGTGTGCGTGCGTGTGTGTTCGCGCACGCGTGCGTGTGTGCGCGCGCGCGTGCGTGCGTGCGTGCGTGTGGGGGGGGGAGGGGGGGGCGGGGGGCAGCGCCAGGTAATGCGCACATTGGTGCTGGCTAGTATGGGATCGAGGACACTCGCGTTTGGTGACGCTGTCGGCAGACGATGGAGCGAGCTGGCACCGAAGCGTCCAATCACCAGCTTGTGCAGACGCAAGAAGATGGGGTCCTGCCAGCCGTATTTGCCCGGGATGCACAGGAAGAGCGGCTGTCGGATGCCCAGGAAGCGTTCGGTATAGTCTGCATAGTCAAAGATGGAAACGAACGCGCCACGTGTGCACACAGCCACGAAGGCGAGGCGGCGCGGCCTGTGAGCGGTGCTGGACAGCAGCCACTTCCACCAGCCCATTGTCGCATTCGTCTCTGCGCTGCATGGCGCCCGCCAGTCGGAGTCATGGCGTTTCACCTGACAGCTGCGTGCTGCGCCGCCCGGCATCCGCCACGTACACGCGTGTCAAAATGCCGAGCCCCCAGCCCGCCGGATGCGACCCACTTACTTTTACAAGAGTTCTTTTGTTACAACGAGAGCCGGAAGCCGGAGATCCCCGGGGTACCCTATTTTCTCTCGTCCCCTGGCCCAGGGCCAAGCCCCTTTGGGGCCCAGATCTACGCACAACTCCTACACCGGACCCCAGCAGATCTTCCATCCGGTGTTCTCATTCATGGCGAGCACCACGGTGCTCGCGGATTCGACTGTCCCCCTGATTGGGGGTCCGACGACGGCTACGGTGAGGACGACGGCTTCTGAGGAAGCCGTCGCCCGTGCCTTGCCTGTCGCGTGAATCGTGTTGTGCGACCGGCTTTTGTTGTACGCGAGTAAAATTCTCATTTCATCATTCGTCAGGGTATGGCCGCCCTTAGTGTCCAGACCGCTCAAGTGATTGTTCCGTTGGAGGCGACGACAGTCGGTCCGGTGGTGCCGCAGTATTTGACGCCGTTGACGAGGACGTAGTCCACCCACCCGTTGCTCTCGCAGCCCTTCTCTGGTGCGTCCGGATTGACCTGGTAGGAGGCGAGGTTGAAAGTAGGCACGTCGAGTAGCACTTCGGGCACGTTTGTGAGGGTGCATTCGTCGCCCTTTCCATACGTTCCCGGGTAGCCCTTGTTGGTGGCGCAGGATCCGCCACCTGTGATGACGCAGTGTCCTCCCGGGCTAACCAAGACCGGCAAAGGCGACGGCGACGGTGACGGCGACGGCGACTCGGACGGCGACGGTGACGGTGACTGTGCCGGTGACGGCGCGGGCGAATCCTCAGGGACTGAGGAGAAGGCAGAGGCCGAGGCCACAAGCAAGAAACAACGGCTCGCTGGAGTAGGATCTCTGCAAGTCCACGCGGAGCCGACGCTGCTGCTGCTGCCACAGAAGGCAACTCCACAGGCGTGAAGGAGAAGTCTCTCTCTCAGGCGTGCAGCGTTGCGTGATCCTGATCGGGGCACGGGGGCACACGAGCTTGAGTAATGGACATCTCTGCGCAAGAACAGGAGATCGTTGGGGTAGAGATAGTGCGCCCAGCCGTCCGCCCCAGATGTGAGATTGAATATTGAAAATGGAGGTCAGATTGCTGCCGGCCTCTGTGATCTCCAATCTCCAATCTCCAGCGTCGGCACATCTTTAGGCCGGGGATCCAGTCAGATCTCCGATCTCCATCTTCAATCCAATCTCCAACGTCGTCATCTTAGGCCGGATTCAGTCAGAACTCAGATCTCCGATCTCCATCTCCAATCTCCAATCTCCAATCTCGATTCGGGGGCCGGGGGAGGACCGGGGGGCTCAAACCTTCAAGGAGATGCGCACGCCCTATGGATTCATTCACTATGCAAAAGGATCTCCACCCTCTTTTCGCGCCATTTTGCAATCTCCGCCCACACGATGACGATCTCTAGGGACTAGGCGTCTTTGGCGCGAAGTCAGAATCTCCCCACCTCTGTCGCAAGGTCTCAAGCGACACTGCACGCACCAACTCGACATCTCAGACTCCTCTCGAGCATCTACACCGGAGAAGATTTGCCTCCACCAGTTCTTCAATCTACTGCTGCTCTTGGCACAGGAGAATGGAGAAAAAAGAGATCTCTATGTCAAAAAGCTAAAAGGCCTAAACGCTAAAGAGCCGTACGGTCTATACCAGTCCGCCCTCAAGGATCTTCCGTGTTCCGATGTGTTGGCTGTTGCGCAGAGATGTCCACGTATGACGGGCTTCTCATCCCCTGCGCGATACTTCAATCTTGTTTCAATATGCGTCCTATCGCCTATCGGCTAGATCGGCCCAATCGCACGCACACGCACATGTCATCAAGCACCGTACACGCTCACACCAATCAGGGAGTATGGAAAGGCAAAGGGGAAAACATCGACAGCGTTCGCCCCTCTCACACCCGGCTGCGAGAGGCCGCAATGTGACAGATCAGACGTTCCCAGCGGGACTGCGCGATGCTTCCGCGCGCGCCGTGAATAAGCTCCGCCCGATGCCACGCGCCGCGGAGGCGGGGCTCCTGTGGCGCGCTCGCCCGCGCGCGAAGACAGAGGGCGGGAGGTGCAACCTCGCCACTCCACTCTCGAGATCACACTCGGTGGCCCCCGCGAGAGGGGTGTGTGGCAGAGTAGGCCGGCTACACCCCCCGCGGGCACGGGGCTCGCAGGGCAGCCCGCGCCGGCGGCCGCGCCCCGTCAGAAGACGTCGAACGAGCGGGCGGGGGAGAGGTGACGTAGCGGCTCGAGCGAGGCGGGGCAGTGCCCCTCGGAGAGCGCGCGCACCACCTTTGTCTCGGTGGCCGTGCAGCCGGGGGCGGCGTCGTTTCGACGGTTCGCGGCGGCGAGCGAGAGGAGGTCGAGCCTACCGTGCGGCATACGCCAACATGAGGGCGGGAAGACGGTCTTGTGCAGCGTCTTCAGAGCACCGCGTGAGTCCAACGGAGAAGAATACAGTGAATACAGCGGAATGCGTGTGAAGACAACGGAGAAGAATACAGTGAATACAGCGGAATGCGGCCGAATACGGCTGAGTGCGTGTCTTCTCGGGCGCCAGTTGGAGCACAAGAACACGTATTCCGCTTCTAGGAGGTCGAGCCCATCAGACATGCGGCTGGCGACGGGCGGCGGCGTGGGGGGGTGCTCCGGAGCAACGCACAGCTGCGGCGACGGCTCCGAGTCTGCACCGACGCCGGCGCAGTTGACGGCGGCGACCTGGAAGCGGTACGGCACGGCGGCGACCAGGTTTGTGATGATGGCGCGCGCCTCGCTGGTGCCGGTGTCGTTGATGCCGACCTGCCACGGGGGAGGGAGAGGGGGCGGCTAGGGGAGTGTCTAGGGAAGTGTCTAGGGAGTGTCTAGGGAGTGTCTAGGGAGTGTCTGGGGAGAGTCTAGGGAGAGTCGAGGGATGTCAAGGGAGTGTCCAGGGAAGTGTCTAGGGAGTGTCTAGGGAGTGTCTCGACCTGCCACGAGATGCCGTCGTTGACCGAGACGCGGACGCGGTAGCCGGTGATGCCGGGGCCTTGGCCAGTCGGGTCGACGGGCGGGCGCCACAGCAGGTGCACGCCGCCCGCCTCGTCGGGCACCGTCACTAGCGCCGTCGGCCTGGCAGGGGGATCCTCTAGAGTTACATGC